TTGGCAGCTCTGGCATCATATCATCAAGATGGGAGTGTTAAAAATCCCACTAGATTCTTTTAAAGAAATATGACCACGTCATCCTGAATTGAGAGTCGAGTCTGATTAACGTGTTTTCTATAATGTCGAAATCAATCAAAGTCAATGTTTATCCATATTTTAAGCTTGAAGATGAGCCATTCATTTCTCAAGGCAAATATGCAAATAATAAGTGTCAAAATAAAGAGGTGCAGAGACATGTTCCCTTTACATGGAGCATGACAAAAGCTGAGAGAGATTACAGCTCAAGTGATCAATTGGTGGTTGTGCCTCTGATATATTTGCTTGAGAAAATATATATATGGTGATCTCCGTGACTTAGAAAAAAAATCTAAAACTTCAGCACTGCAGAAAAAATGACTAAGGTATTCTTTGAAGTTGGCCCCCAGGGGAAAAAGTTAGATTGATGAGTCAAACAGCTATTGTTGCTCCTAACTAAGCTAGAAAAGCTTTTGTGCTAAAATGAAAGCTGAGACAAGGCTTAATTAAGTTTTAGTGACACCCTTCTTACAAAGAAGTTACAGCTTTTCAAAACTTGGGGGAAAGAAAGGCAAAAAATACTTAATTTTAAATGGTGAAAAACATGGAAACTCATTGTAAAACTTCATTTCTGCGGTTCCTCAGAGATATGTTTGGGGATCTCTGGTATAAGATTAATGAGGTTGAAGCAATACTCAAAGTAAAATGTTAGTCAATTTGAGTGTGCTTTGGAAATGCTTTCTCTGATGAGGAATTGCTGCATCCAGCAAATAAAAGTCTCAATTCTTAAACCCCCTTGCTTGCAGTGGTTGAGCTTCAATTTCTGATACTGTGCATGCATACTATACATCCAAGAATTTCACGTTTATGTAAGCTCCTTGGTTGTTTCACTGTACACTTGGAGGTCCTTCAACTGCATCTGATTTCATTTGTATGGCCACAAAATATCTTCAAACAGCACATGTTTCAAATTTTTTCAAGCAGTTTATTGTGTGATTCTGATTCATCTGGAGAAACTGACTCTAGAGCCAAGCCTTTATGAGTAATATGATTCAACTCACAGGGAATACTTCCCTTGTTGTTCATGTTGGAACAACAGGTTGCTTCTGATTCATGTGCTCTGGTGTTAACTATCAGTAGGTACTGAGCCCAGTGGCAAAGGGCCTGAGCTATGGTACATGAATTATCTAAGAAATACATAGTGATGACATCCATAAGCTCAATAATGAGACGAGACAAGGCAGACATTCATCATACTCTATTCTCAATCTTTCATACTGTCATGAACAGATTATTAACTCTATGCTGCATTCTGTCCTGCATGCTCGACAGAAAGCAGTACAGAGTTAAGAATGAGTTCAACAAAATTCACAAGAAACAATAATTATGATGGTACTCTACAAGGAAATCCATTAATGAAATTTACTGCGTGAAAACAGAGTCAATTTAAACAGGCCACTTCCACTGATTATCAGGGGGCTTATCCACTAAGGGCTCCCAGGGCTTCCATTCCAACATTTTTCGGGCTAAATACAGTTCATTTTCAGCCTGAAGTATCACTTCCTCCACCTACAACATAAAAGAAGTTAAAAGAAACATAGGTTCTCATATCCAATGTCCAACAAGACCCTTAATAAACTGAGACTGTGCCAAAAGAGACCCTCTATAGGGGTGTAATAATCTAAGGTCTTTCTTTCGTTACTTTTTTTAATTGGCAATACAGAACTGTCAATTCATATCAAAAGAGCATCAGCACGCAATACTGATTCCAAAGACAATGAACTAAAATATCTGCAAATTTATAAGTATAGTGAAAACTCATTAACTTGAACCCTGATAAGTAGAAATTCTGCTCATCTCAAAGTTCAATGCTTGGTCCCAGTGGAACCCCATAGGACACCATGTTGAAAGCTCCGTTTAACTCGAATTCGCTTATCACTAATGAAATTTTCACTCCCTATAACAATTTTCTCATGGTTAACTCGAATTCAGGGTGAGAAGGGGGGTATAATTCTTGTGGGACTTTTTGATTTTTGAATAGAATCAATGACAAGAAACCCAATTGGGAGGATGCTCTTTTGTTTCTTTTGCTGCTTCTCCCTCCTCCCACAGATGCCTGTGGAGAGGATAAAACCTGCAGATTAAAACCAAAAAGCTTTGGCTATAAAAAAGCCTCCAAAATTCGCTCTATCAATCAATTGCTCTCGCTCAGAGCCATTCTGTCCCCTATGTCCCTTGATGTGTTTTTTTTTTTTGTGGGGGGGGGGGGGGGGGGAGGGAATGATTCCTGATAACTCGAGACAATTTGCCCAGTCCCTAAAAGTTCAAGTTAATGAGTTTTCACTGTATTCTGAGGATCAATCCTCACCTGTCCACTGCCGATCCGTTCTTCCAGCTTGAAGATGTTAGGCTCTTCTTCCACAGCAATGACTCTTTCTTTGACAATCTCTTCAGTGTATCGGCGGTATGCAGCATCAGATGGCATCTTTTGAACACATCGAAGAATCTTTCCATAAAGAACTGATAGTGTGTGATGCGGAGTTTTTGCCACAGCTAGACGAGTGAGTCCAGTGGTGACCTTCATGGTTGCTGAGGCCATCTTCACCTGCCCACTCTCATAAAGCCACAAAAAATTGGTGCCACTAGGGAATATATACCTTTAATATATACCATTCCAACCAAATTATGTATTTTATCATCTTTCCAAAAACTCTAATATGACCATGCACCTATGATTTCACATATGGTAGTTTTAATGTACCATGCACTCTCGATTTTGCATTTCACTCTTCAAAAACTGAGCAACAATACCTCTTCCTTTTGAATATATAAGGATAACACCCTCACAAGGGTACAATCTCTGCGCCTCAGAGATTGTTCCACACTTACTCAATTGATATTTTTGCAAAGAGGAGGCAGCAGGAATAGAAATGAAATTTATAAAACCAAACAAAAAGGATTGACAACATGCAATAACATCAATTACATTTCAAGTTGTCCCAACTCAGTGAGTCGGAGGCCACTGCCAGAGTTATATTTCTCATGCCAAATATTTTCATCAAAATGCATCAAGTCAGCCAAGTTCAAATCTCTTTGCTATAACTAGAATCAAAAGCAACAATGAGCAAAATCAATATATGTGACTTACAGTTTTCTCCTAATTGATCACATTCACCAAGGAGAACATTTAGTCACCAGAACCTTGTACCATATAGAAGATTAACATTGCACAAGGGGTTTAAATCACAGTCTTCCCATTAAGCACAGACAATTGCATGCACACAGTCCATTTATCTGTGGACACAACAGAACCAGCCTGAGGATAAAAAAGCATAGTTGTTGAGGGTGTTTGGCACATCCCCTGGCTAGTTAAACAAAACCATGTGAAAACAGCCAGGCCTATTTATGAGTTGGCCTATAGCTGATGTTACAGACAAGGAATGAAGGTTATAAAACCTGCCTCATCTTGTCCATGGCATTAGGCCATAAGAGAAACATTCATATGCAAGTACAAACATCAGAACTGCAAAAATATTTCAGTCAGTAGAGGACAATTACTTCTCTCCCTCAAGGTCATTTCGTAGAAATAGTTTAACTCATCAAAGATAATTCCAATTAAGAAGCTCTGAATAAGTCAGAAACATTTCTTACACCAATCTAGTAGATATACAGGCCTACCTGTACCTAAGAGACAAATGAATAAGGTACTTTAACGGAAATCACAGAAATCACAGCTTCATATGATTGCAGGTATTGTTTTGACATGGATCTCAAATTTAGGCACCAAGCATATCACACTCAACTTTCACTGCCATCTTTGAAATTGGTGGATTCAGGCCATGGTTCAAGACTAATCAAGCCCATATTTTTCAAATTGAGAATGGAGTCGCCTATCACAGCACCAGCCCTCCGTTGATAGCCACCACTAGTAACCATGACTATTGGGAATCGACGGGAATAAGCTTCACGGAAAACCATCTCATCTCGCTTGATTACCCCTTCGTCAGAAATTTCCATGCGTCCCAAGGGATCCCCAGCCATGATGTCAGTCCCAGCATTGTAAAGAATGAAGTCAGGTGTGAATTCTTTGAAGGCTTTTTCCAAATTCCTGAAGAGGAGCACAAGAAAACACAATGAGAATGAGGCACTGATAGAAAATATGCTTGAATTTCTGTCCCCTTTTCAAAGTTGCACAATGAGATCTAAAGTTTGACCTCAATTAGCAAATTTCAATCACCATGTCATCATGACATGGTGATTAAAATTTGCTAAAAAGCTTCCGATTGTACACATGACATAAAGGCAGTGTATAGGCTACTGCTACTTGTTAAGTAGATGAGAGGAACATCATATTGGCCACAAAATCCTCTGTCACCATATAAAAATAGTTTTAATTTGAACAAGCTACAAACTATTGTTCATGACTTATTACCTAACTTTTTCTGTAATATTATGCCAGATACTCTCAATGAGACATGGATGCACTCTCTAATTGTGTGAAAAACAATAATGGCACACATACATATACTCCTTACCTTTCTAAAAGATCCAAGTATGTAGAGTCATCGGTTCCAGAAGACAGTTTGACTGGGAGGGTAATGCCATTCATGGCTTCTCTATCTCCAGGATATATGCTACTGTTGAACATGTCGAAGATATAAATGCTTTTATCGTCCATAAAGTCTCGTTCGTGACCATTTCCCTATAAGAAAGGCACCAATATTTCAATCCAGCACAGGAGCTCCACGCCAATATGTCAGAGGTTAGTGGACCAAGAAATTCAATGCTTTAGTGCCAGTCCTTACCTGATGGGCATCCAAGTCAATGATCATGACCTTTTTCACTTGGGAGAAATTTTTCCGGACCATGCGAACACATAATGTGATATCAGCATAGGGACAGAATCCACCACCTGAATTCCCTGAGCAGTGGTGTAAACCACCACCAATGTTGATGGCCCAACCTCTTTCCATGGCTAACTTTCCAGCTAGCACTGTTCCTCCAACCTGGTACCTACATCCACATCAAGAAAATTTCCATAATTTGTCATTGATACCTCTACAGTACATTTAGCCCTTCATGAATCAGAAAATGATGTGCCAGAACATCTCAACTTACATTAAATTTAAGACTCATGCATGGCATGGAATATGGTTTTTCTTAACAAGTCTTCAGATCATATGCACATGATCAGCCTTGTGATTCAGTGAATACAAAATTTAAAAAAACTTGTCATATCCCCTCCTATGCTGATACATCAAATCCACTTCACCTGCATCAAAATGAAGGATAAAGGCACATGGCATAATTAAACCTTAGTTCTATTTTTCCATACATTATGTGATACCAGCAATTGTTGCTTTCCTGAATCGGAAGCAGTGACTAGCAATTTTGAGAATGTAGATAGGCTTATCTATCCTACATCTAGACTCCTCCACTTTGTTCCTTTCTTTACCAACATGGAAGTGACAATGGTCCCTTGTTAGATGTAAGCATTTAAGCTGACAAGTGAAGTCAGGATTGAAGAAGAGAATGCTATTGATACTTCACAGTAGGCTTCAATGCTCTGCATTATTTCCTGAGTAGAAGTAAAAGGTAATTTGAATGTTCTCATAATTAACCCATTTGCTGAGGATTGAATTTTGGCTACTTGGTTTAAATAAGTCAAATTATGCAGGAAAGCATCATGAATGAAAAAAAAAGACCAAAATCACTTTTTTCAGCAAAAGGTTTAATAAGGGCCCATATGCAAAAACCTATCACTCGATAGCCTATTACATGGTAGCTATCAAGAAAGGCATCAGGCAATAGGTCTATATTTTGCTCATATCTCTATACAAGAACAATTTCTATGTATCCATTGCAAAGTCTATTTTGATAGGTATCACCATATTTTTTTACAAAAGGTGTTTTATACCTATCATGGGAGGTATTCGTGAACCTTCCTAAAGAAAACCTCCCACCCAGGAACAATGACATGTGCATCTTGCACATACCTAGAGTGTTGTGTGATTACTATTATCATATTCAATATTAATCTATCCCCACTTACAGACTAGTGCTTCAGTTCTGATTACAATGGCTTGATATAAATAATTAAACAGGATTTACTCTATCCCAGAGTAAGTGCACTCAGCACAAGTTGCAATAGTTCATGACTAATTGGGTTAATAAAATGCACTGCAATCCGCCCTGATAGCTTGTTATAAGCAGAAAAAATAAGCTCTGGATCATAAAAGACTGAAGCAATTCCATACCTACCATGATACCATATTATGATGAGTGTGAAATGCTTCTGCACATGGCCATCCTATCAAACTTATCATATAATACCCCCCAAATAGCTATTTTATCGCTTTTATACATTCCTACATACCAGCTGAGGTCATTTTTAGTTTTATTAACCATTTGAGACTCCAATGACATACAATGCATGTCAAGCAATCAGAGTCTTATGTGTAATAGCTTGACGCACAACAGAGGTCATTAGAGTCTTGAAAGGGTTAAAGACAACACTAAACCTTTGAGTGGTGATTTTTCTAACTGCAAGCAAAATGATGCACCCTCTTCAAAGCCTCCAGCATATATTATGCAAATATTTTGGAAATAAATTCATGCTTACTCAAAATAAATATCAATGTTAAGGTGAGGATGCAGAAAGTGACACACCTGAAATTTGACAACACAAATCGCTGGATGAGGAAATTTGGAATCAACGATATGAAGGGGACTTCCAATATCGCCATAACATTGTAGCTCCACTGAAATGACAAATTCATATCCATAAGATAATGTGAAATCAAAACTACTTCAGTAATACTTTGGCATCAGGAAGATGCACGAGTATACAAGGATGCCAGGACTTATTACAAGATTTAGTGAAATCTTACTCAGTCTCATAAACTGAGTCAGTCATTTCATTAGGATAGGACCCCAAAATCCAGGATTGTTCCAGGCATAGCTAGGACAATTCTGTCCTAGCACAATCAGAACCTGGAGGATCAGGAGTTTTGAGATAAAAAATATTTCTCATTACAGATGATGCTATCCTGATCCAGTCCAAGCATCAGCTCCACCATCTATTCAATTGATTTGACTCTGAATGTAAAGTGATTGGAATAAAACTAATTTTCCTAAAAATCCAGTTCATGGTTTGCATGGTTTGCTATATGTTGAGGGGGGTGCACTTGAACAAGTGAAAATATAGTTCCTTAGGTTCTCATTCTTGAGTGACAAGCATTATGGAAATGAAATTAACAATATCACATTAAGGAAATTTTTAGAAGCTTTGGCGATTGCCAAATCTGACATTTTCAAGGAAGTTAAACTCTTACATTTTAGAGATGTAATTCCCCCTCCCTCACCCATGGCCATGAACTTTGGATAGCAAATGAATGATTCAAATTACAGATGCAACCTGATGAAATGTGAGTCTTAATTAAGCCAGGTAGTCATCGTCATGATAGGATGCAGAGTGCTGCCATTCATTAGAACCTCCATATCATGCACCTACTTCTTCACATAGAGAGATCTCAAGTCTGGTGGTTCGACTACATTGTTCACATGATCCCAAGAGACTTTCATCCAGAGTCTCTCATTCCCAGATGATCAAGAAAAAACCACTCAGTATGCCTCATACAAGGTGAAAAACCGACACTGTGATGTTTTGTCACAAGAGGCTTGGCTCCCCACGTACTAGGCTCAAGTCTACTGTCCAGGACTGGGAACATTTCAGGATGCTCTTGGGTCTACTTCAACCACAACTCTGTTATGTTAAACCGACACTGTGATGTTTTGTCACAAGAGGCTTGGCTCCCCACGTACTAGGCTCAAGTCTACTGTCCAGGACTGGGAACATTTCAGGATGCTCTTGGGTCTACTTCAACCACAACTCTGTTATGTTGGGAATGAAAGTTTTGAAAATATATGCATGCATGTCAACACAACTGTGCCGACATGTTAAAGTTTGATTCCATTTCAAACTATCAATCAATATCAGAAGATTGACTTCAATTCCATTGACAATTTGAAGAAAAAATTTTCATTTCAGCTTCTGAAAATAAAATCCGTTCTAATTTTCTTCCCCAACCACTAATCTCTTTTCTTTCTCAATCCAAAAGAAAGCTAAAAATTGTCAGTTGGATTGTCAACTGGGGAAATGCAGAAAAATTACCTGTGAACTTAGTATGAAAATAGGATGACACTTTATTTAGGGGTGAAACAGCACACAAGCAACCCCTACACAGTCTCTTATGGATGCTTCAAATCAGCTTCATGAGATGATTTTTAGAAGGGTGGATAGAATACAAGATCAGAAAGACAGACTCATACAGTATTCATATTGCAACACCAACTTGATAATACCTCTATCCTATTTCTGTTGGAGCCTGCTTAGTCACCAAGTTCACAATTCCATCTCAACATTGTCACCACATAGCATTAACAAACAGCTACAGTGCTTATCAAATGAATTCACCCCCCCTGCAGTGGGCGGTGGCGCTGCTGGCTATGAGAAGAGAGTGACATCTGTTTTTCATCCCATAAACAGCTAAACTAATCACATTTGCAATCCCAGCAAGGTACCCAACTACCATAGACCAGAATGATACCTTGAAGGAGCTTCGCAAACTTGACATAATACAGCTGATCAGAACAAGTAGGAACCAACATTCCTTTAAAAAGTTCGAGTGAAGTGAACCTTGAGGAATGTCAGAGCACCTAAGTAAAAATGATATAGTCACCTTGGTGTCGACGCAATCACGGAATCAGTCATATATATCATTCTGAAGCATTTTTATTTTTACCTTATAATTTTATCATACATGGAAAGACACACCTTGAAAAAATTCACATTTCTCAATATTCTGAAAAATCCGAAGATGAGTTAAACGAAATTTTAATTAACTTTCTGAATCCTTCTCCATAGTCTTGGTTTTCATGGAAGCTTTCCTTTCCTTTTCCCTTCTAGGAAAACCTCATATGGCAGGCGATCTACGTTCAATGTACTTTTAACAAATAAGAAGAAATGGACTAGAATCCAGTTGATGCCTAAGTTAATGAATAAAATTGATCAAATGTAGAAATACAAGAAATTTGAGTATAGAATGTAATTTTTCCCTCCTCTGAGTCTAAATAATG